GTGACAACCCCTGGGGTAGAGGTTAAGTTGTACCTCGCGGCACCCCGACCTGTCGTGGGGCGTCGAGAGAGGTATAGCACGCGCGCACGGTCGGAGTGGTGACTGGTTCCTTTCACTTTGAAAAATCCTGCATGACACGACCGTGACGTTTTGCGCTCCCAATAGGGTGTGGGACCGCCGCGCGCGACAACGCGACACTCAGAAGAAGGATGTGGAGGCAGAAATCCAGGACGGCGCATCGAATAGAAGGGTGGGGATGTACTACTATGGCGAGGCGGGCAGAGCAGAGATGGTGGAAGATGTCACGGGAAAAAGGGTGAGAGGGGAACGTAACGAGGGTGGTGAGTTGGCGGAGGGTGAGGTAGTCAAGGGGATGGCGAGAGAGAGATCGGGGACGAAGACCGATCGCCTGTATTGGTACGTCGGCGAACTGGGGGACGGGTTGGGGAGGAAAGTGATCGGCGTCGTCGTCGTGCTGATGTGCCCGGAGTCGTGGCTGTATGTTCGTCATCTTCGGGTCGGGGAAGCTCCAGATCGCGGCTTGGATCGTCATGAATACGCAGATCTACTGCGCTCGCGATCTCAAACTCCCGCTTCTCGGTAGCGATCTCTTCTCTTCTGCAGGCCAGCTCGGGATCCTCATTCTCCGTGCCCGTGCACAGTGCTTCTTCTGGCGCGGCTTCCCACTCCGATCCCGCAGATCCGTCTTCGTGTTCCTCCTTCTCTTCCTCGTTTTCTTCTTCGCTTTGCTCCCCTTCACTATGCTCGCTATAACTTCCGCTTTTGGAAGTTTCTTCTTCCTCTCCGAGCACGTCATCGCTATCCCCGAGCAACTCGCCCGCGTTCTCGTCCTGCTCGTTCTCGGAGCTTTCTTCTTCTTCTTCTTCCGTGGCTATGGCAGCGGCCTGTTCCGCCGTAGGATATCGGAAGAAGGCGGGATCAAGAATCTTCTTAGGATCCAGATACTGTTGTCGCAACAGCGGGATGCGTTCAGAGGTTTCTTCCACGCACGCTGACCACTGGAGATAGGGCGCCAATGTGCGAAAGAGTATGTGGGGAGCCGGATGCTTGTCGTCCTGCGAGATGATATCGAGAGGCAGGTCGTCTGCTAACTGCACCATCGAAATCGTGAGTTCCCGCACGATTAGCTCTCGATGACCGGGCTGCACCGTTCCGAACAAAAATGCGAGGAGTTCCCCTTCTACGTTGGTGCGCCAGGCTTGGATGAAGAAAAACTCCAGACGCTCTTTGCACGGCGGGTGCGCTCCGTCTCTAGTCCACGTCACCCGCACCTCGACCAAACACACTGAAAGCTCGACGAAGTCCTGACGCCAAAGGGACCAATGAGGGGGATGGAGTGGAGGAGCGGTAAGAGGGTTGAGGCGGTAGGAGAGGCGAGGATGGAGGTCGGATTGCCAGAAGGTRGGAAAGGTGGAAGGGAGATCGAAGGCGGAGATCGGGGAGAGACTCATTGGGGACGCGGGAAGGGAATGAGGGGAGGAAGTTCCATTGGGGAGTCACGACGGTACATGCGAAGGCCGCCGTATTCGATTGCCAGCGATGGCGCAATCGTATCTCCGGGGCGAGCCAGAAGATGGACGCACTCGGTGACCAAATCGGTCGCCCACTCGTGTAGTGACGCCTTCACCGCGGTATGCCGCAGGGGAGGGAGCGTAGAAAGATCGCCACAAAATTCAACGACGACAGTAATGCGGCTTACATCTGGCGCCACCCGCTGATGAACTGCTACAGCTTCAGCTAATACCACCGCCTCATGTCTGCCTTCGATCCGAAATACCGCCGCCTCGTACACGCCCTCCGTGCAAAAGAAGTGCGCGAGTCGCCGAAGGTCTAGACTGAGTCGGGGATGATGGACCTGTCGGATCGTCAACCGATCACGGGGCGCAAGCAGTGCTTCGCTGAGGGCTCTCTCCTGGAGAAAACTCATGGCAGGGATGGAGAAGAGGACGAAGAACGGGAGGGAGACGGAGAGATGGAGGCAGGGGCTTGTTCGTCGTCGTCTTCGTCTTCAGCAGACGAGGGAGACAAAGGGAGATCGGAGGGAGGAAGAGGACGGATGTAGGAGGTATGGCGGACAATAGGGACCGAGCTATGGCTGGCGCTGGCCTCAGGCGCGATGCGCACCGTGTTGGCACCGTTCGGTCCGAGTTCGACGATGCGGAAACAGCCAGAAAACTTGGGAGCGAGTTTCCGGCCGCGTGCACATTTACGAACCTGTACTAGGTCCCCCAATTTATATTGATGCCGGGGACCCGCGTTCCCATTTCGGGCCTCGTAACTGCGGACCTGTTTCCCGTGGGCTAGATAAGTCATTTTCTGTCTTTTCCGGGGTAGTTTCGGAACGGCCCTTTCCATCAAATCGGCATACCTTTTGGCCTTGGCCTTAAGGGCTGCACGCGTGTCTCGACCCCCTGTTTCGGCAATTTCCGAGTGGCCTCGATAATCGACACATGGAAGTCTATTGGTGCAAAGCTGAAAGGGGGTAAACCCCGTGGACTCGTGAGGGGTGGCCCTGTAAATTCCAATGATTTGGTATACGATCTCGGGCCATGGACGCGTGTCGTGTGCCGCCAGATTCCGACGAAGGGCCGTTTTAATCATACGGTTGGCATTTTCGGCCAATCCATTCGACTGAGAGACATGGGGCGCCGTGTGTCGAAGCGTGATGCCTCGTCGTGCCAACAGTTCCTCTACTTCGCCCTTAAATTCGGACCCATTATGCGTCAGAATTTCCTCTGTATCTAGATGGGTATAGAGAAAACGGTCAATGTACGTGGCTATTTCTGCGGCCTTACGAGTTTTACAAGGGTAGACCTCCTTACTAGTTTTACAAGGGTAGACCTCAATGTATTTGGAAAAATGAGCTATTAAAACTAAAAGAATGGAATACTCGCAACGGTTCGGGCCAGGTGGCACGTCAATATCTGTCGTGTCTATACTGACTCGCTGGAAAGGACGATCTACTTCTGTTGGTACTATCGTGTTCGGACCCCGTATCGGGGCTCGATCAGCGGCACAGACCAGACAGTTGGCAACTACGTATCAGACATCATCCCGTATGTTAGACCAGAACCATCGATTTTGGTCTATAGTTGCCTCTGTCACACGTATCACGAAATGAGCGGCTTGCTCCTCGTGAGCAGATCGGACCGAATCGTATCTTTGAAACGGATGAGGAACCGTCAACCATAAACCTGATCCGTCAGTTTTACGCTTTTCTAGGTGACCGTTGATCCATCGGTAATCCCTAGATCTCTCTGTAGCCCGACGTCTGTCACGCTTAGTGAGATGGTCTAATGATAAACCGGCTAATTTAGCTAGCAGAATCTTATCTGTCTAGACCTTTGCCCGTCTGTACTTTTCGTCGTATCCGGGACCGTCCGTACGGGCGGCCTCGAATCGAACCTCCGTTGGTAACTTGTCCGTCCGACACAGAGGGCGTTTCCACATTCGGTTGTCGGTCCAGTACCTAATACATGCTCCATGCGCGCGATTAATGCACGTGGAACAGTCCACCCAATCAGCAAATCTGATCTCAGAGGGGTGAAAATCCACCCCGTAAACCCGTGAAATACACGTACAAAAATAACAAAATTTATCCGGAAGTGTAGCAAAGAAGGTTGAGGCGGTGAGAGAGACAGACTCAGACGGAGAGGAGGGGGTTGCAGAGACAGGTGAAGTAGCCATGGTTCACGAGGGAAGAGTGGGAGAGAAAGAGGAGAAGAAGAAGATAAAAATATAATCCGTCTGCAGAAAAGATAGTTGGAAAGCCCCGTGGCACTCACTCCTTTGACAAGATTTCCACCTGTCTGTACCGGGGTCCGGTCTCGCCCCTCGGCTCGTTCCACAGAATCACCTCTTCACTCTTGGGAACCTTCTCTGGTCGATGCAGGCGTGTCAGTCCGTCTGCATTCCCATGTCTCTTGTGCTTCCAATGGCGGATGCCAAAGTCCATGCTCTGCAACACCGTCGCCCATCGCCCAATCATGCCTGAGTAATCCTTAGATTCCTTCAGGGCCAGGAGGGGCTCGTGATCAGTCACCAGCGTAAACTTTCATCCGTACAGATAGGCTCGGAAGTGACTGATTCCCCACAAAGCTGCGTAGCATTCCCCGGTGGGAGCGGCATAATTGCATTTGCACGCTGGTACTGACTTGGATGCGTACTCGACCACGTGTTCGAGTCCGTTCGGTCCCACTTGAGCCAAGATCGCGGAAATTGCCTCTGGTTGCCAGTCCGTGATGAGGGCAAAAGGCTTTTCGGGATTCGGCCTTATAAGGAACGATGCCGAAATAAGAGTTGCCTTGAGTCTCGAAAACGCCTGGTCACTCTCCGGCGTCCAGATCAACGATTGATCTTTCTTCAGAAGACTTGATGAACCTCGGGGTCCCGCGATTGCCGCAAAACCCTTGATGAACCTTCGGTAGTACGAAGCCAGGCCCAAAAAGGCGCGAAGTTGCGTGATGGTTGTAGGTATAGGTGCATCTCTGACAGCTGCCACCTTCTGGAGTTCCAGTTTGAGCCCCTGGTCCGTCACCACGTGTCCCAGAAAGGAAATTGCGGTGAGGAAAAACTGACATTTCTCGAGCGCCACCTTCAACCCAACATCTTTCAACGCATGCAAGGCCCACTCAATGTGTTGCACGTGTCCCTCGTAGGAGCTTGAATACACCAAAATATCGTCCATGTACACGATTACGCAGTAGTTGATGATGCTCTATACCAACCGTGTCTTACTTGCAAAATTCTGAAAAACCATATTCATGGCCCGCTGAAAAGTTGTTGGCGCATTGCAGATGCCCATCGGGCATCAAATCCACTGCCAGGTTCCTTCGAACAGCACAAACGCTGTTTTCGGATGATCCTCCTCTTGAACAAGAAGATGGTGAAACCCGTGTCGAACATCAAACTTACTGAAAAATCGCGCACTTCCAATCGCATCCAGCAGTTCATCAATCCAGGGAAGGGGGTACACATCCTTAATCGCAATGTCATTCAACTTCCGGTAATCAATGCATATGCGAAGCCCTCCACTTTTTGGGTACAATTACCACGGGAAACGACCAAGGCCCTATGGCAGGTTCAATCCATCCATTAGCTTCGAACTCCTTAATCCGCTCAAAAGTGGATGCCCGTTGGGCTGGCGAATATCGATAAGGAACGCAGCTGATGGGCGGATGATCCCCCGTTAGGATAGTGTGCTTAATCACATTGGACAACCCAATATTCTTATCATGCACACTCAAAACTTCTGCATATCCATGCAGAACATCAATCAAGGATTTTCGAAATTCCCTGGGAACGTGATTAGGTACAGTGACAGTCGGTCTGTTGGGTATTTCAAGAGGCATGTTAATCCCATCAGTGAATGAACCCCTTCTGTCAAGTACACTGGAAAACACAGAGCTGCTGGTGCGAATAGAGAACACGCTCGTAATCATCTGAGACTCCGCGGGGCTGATCATCTCGGTCTCTTTGATTTCGGCATGAGTCTCGGAGTCAGTTGTAGCCTCTTCCACAGTTAGGCCTGTCAAATCTACCATTTCTTGCATCAAATCCGGTACGTCGCCTACGGGAGCTTCGGCTTCTCGTTGAATCAGAGCAACGGTCGCCCCTGTGGTGAGTAGCGATCTTGGAGGAAAGGCGGAAACATCCAAATATTGTTTCATCTGTTGGTAGCGTGCTCGTAGAGAGAGCGTTCCCTCGTATAGGGTACGAGGGGGTTCCAAATCGTCTGCAAGATCCGAAATTTGCAAGATAGGTTCTCCGAGAAAGGTCGAGGAATTACCCTGGGTCTCAGTGGGGATAGTCGTGTTATCTTCTAAACTCAAATGAAATGTTTGTGTGGCTCCAGGGACCATACGAAATTCCTCCTGGGTTTTGTGTTCAAAAAGTTCGACCAAGTGCTTCCATTAATTCTCATTAGGCATCTTTTCTTCATACTTCAGTTTTTCGAATCCGCTACTGTCATCCGAAGATGGAGGCATGTTCGCTTCGCAATCGGAACCTTGAATCATTCCAATCCGAGCAGAATCAGAGTTTCTTCTTACTGTTCGGGTGGAAATCCGTAACGGAACAGTTTGTGGTTTCCCTCCTATTTGCGTGAGCACCAACTGCTTAGAATCGAAATGCATGCGGGCGCCTACTGCCATTGCCCATGGCAAGCCTAGCAACACAGAATACACATACACGTCTATCACTAAGGCATTTACGAGGACATGCACTCGCCCAACCTTTACAGCCACATTCTCAATGACTCCAACAATATTTATCGCTTCCTCGTCGGCAGAGACATAATTGTCCTTGCCAGATTGAGGAAGGATTGAATTGAGCCGACCTGATTTTCTTACAGTATCCAAGGATATGGCTACCGCCGACGACCCAGTATCGATGAGGGCGTTAAAAGGTTTGCCCCAGATTTCACAATCGCATTCTGCACTTTTCCACAATACGGGGCGAGCTCGTATGAAGTGATTTTTTTCCACTAGCGAGATCTTGGCCACTCGTGCGGCCTCAGACTTATCCGTTTCAGGTTCGGGCGGCGTAATATCCTCGGTTTCATCTTTCTTTTTGTTCTTTAGCATCCGCTGAATTTGTTGATAGGTGAAACGTTTCTGGTTCTTCTCGCACTGTTGCAATAACTTATCATTCACTGCTTCAGATATGGTGAGCAGATGTCCCACTGGGACTGGAACACGAATGTCCAGCTGTTTAAGTGTCCGTAATACATCAATTTCCCCGGTCTGAAACTGTGGTCCGAGGTTCGATTCGCGTTCGACCCATTCAAGATCGTCGTTGCCCGGTCGGATTGCTCCGATCATACCGGCGGTCATCCCGACCATGCCGGCCAGATGAAGGTACTCAATCGGATCAACTACGTCAGCAGCTTCAGAGGACGAAGCCTCTGAAGTTGACGCAACTGCCATCGAGGGGGTCGGTCGTTCCGGTGCGTAAGCGATGATCGCGTCATCACGGATCGTATCCATTAGTGCCGCTACTCGTCCCTGATTCAGAGCTACGGGAGCTGCAGCAGGAAGAGGCTGGTTCCGTTTTGGCTGCTGACAGTCTTGGGCGAAATGTCCGGGCTGTTTGCAGTTGTAACACTCAATCCTCCCCGCAAAGTTGGCTGCTTGGGGGGGCTGCGGTGCAGGTGGCGCGGCCAAAAGAGGGAACGAGGCGGGAGCAGGTCTAGCAGGAGCCGGGTTGGGCTTGATCAATATGCTCATGATCTGTTCCATACGATCCATGTGAGCTGCCTGCATCTGAACTAAATTACTCATCCATTCAGATTGCTTGGTCGTGGCTCTGTGAATCATCTGTGCCAGATGCATATTCGTTATGGACATAGGAGCGGGATCACGAGCGCTTTTGGGGTTGACGGTTGCAACCTGCTGATGCATCGCGAAAGATTGCGGGGGGGCGGAAGATGATGGCGGGATGTCTGAGGCAAACCCTTTCGGAATGTCATGATCAGGGCGGGGGTAGTACCGTCCTATCGCTTGCAACCACGATCGTCGCTTCGCCGCCACGTCCTGTATCGTATCACTTATGTCCTCGTTTCCCTGACTGATATACTTTCGTGTATCCATCAGGTCCAATTCCAGTGCTTTGGCGATGATAGCGGCTAACTGATTCGTTCTAGGAGGAACCTTTTTCTGCAACTTAGCCTTCAACGTCGGATTTCGTAAATGATCGATGAATAAATCCCGAGCGGATTTTTCATTTCGCCCTGATTTATCCAGCGTAGTTTGGAAACGATCTACGAAATCGGACAACAATTCTCCTGGTTCTTGCGGTCGAGTTTTGAGTACGTGTCAGGCAGCGTCTTCACTGACCGTATCAAATCGGGCCAAGAATGCCTGTTTGAAGGTATTCCAATCTACCCAGTGGTGCTTCCTAAACCAGTCGTGTGCAGTGTTGCGAAGCAACAAGATGATGACATGGGGAAGGTCCTTTGGACTGTAATTCTGAGCTTAGACGGCTTCCAGCCAGGCTTCAGGGTGGGTATAATTGGGAAAGAAAGGGAAAGCAGCAGGAATACCGACTATCACCCTAGGGACAGCCATATTGTCGTCTGGCATTGGCGTAGCAGCTCTTGCTTCGGTAGATCTAGATCTAGTAAAGGGGCAATCCGTCGAGCAGGTTGAGGACTCTTTCTTCTACCTCTCGCCAGATCGACTTACTTACATTAGAACCGACACGAGTCGGCTCCAATACCAACCTCACGCCCTGCGCTGTCTTTTGTTCGGAGCGCACTATGGGGTGGAATTAGCCCCGAAAGATCAGCAAAATGGGGTGTGCCAAGGATTTTTGGGAAATTGAGTGTGGGGACACAGACAAAAATGAAATCCCCTCGTGTTGGTCCGATGGAGTAAGTCGATGGTTTTCGTGCGTCGCAGGATGCGCCCGTGGGCACGGCGTGAAAAGAGAAAAATACAAATTCAATCCAGAAAATACTGCCGGACCTCCCACCGTGCCACTGCCTGCCGTTTAGAGCGGAAAGGTTTTGGCACGCTCCGCGTATCTCGCTTCCGAATCAAGTCCCTACGTTGCTCGTTGGTTAATTCCGAGTCTGACATGGATGGTCTCAGTCGTGTGGCTCTTTCCTTATGTTCCTCTTCGCTCCGTATGCGGTAGTGGAACCCCTTTGATTCGTCGCGGTCAAAACGCTGGCACTCTGTGCACATAGTTCTAGGCCAATGGGGTGCCACTGCCGTCCACAGAATAACATGAGCTCGTTGAATGGCAACAACACCGAATAAGGCGGGAAATGCGTGTCGACAATCACAAAGCCTGCGTCTACAAACCCGGAACAACGATTTTCGGGAGGAAAGTAATATCCCCCGCCGACTCGTGCGACAGCTTCTCGTACGTCCCACTCGCAGACACGTGTCCTTTCCTCGTTGTACGGGAAGGGAGGCGTCGGTTTGGGAGATACGGGAGGCGGACGCCCAATCGAAACGCGTTCGTTGGTTCACATGTCAATCAACCAGGTTAAAATTGCAAAAATTCCGAGACGTCATCAGAAGAGAGATTGCAGTCGTGAACAGAGACTAAAAAAATTTCCCTTCTTTCGTCTCGCGGGAAAGGTTCACAAAGCCCACGCAAGGCTGTAAAATAGTCGGGTGGAGATTAACGGAGACCAACCCACGACTCAAGTTCAAAAAAAACAAAAAGAAAGAGGTTTCATTCTTTCGGGAAAGGAGGTGTAATGCATCATAAGGCAGATGACATGCGTAGTGCATTCAAAACGACATATCTAAACACTCGTGCATTCCCCACAATCTCTGAGTCTAATAAAAAACGACAGATCTAAACACTTGTGCAATTCTCCTTGCATGTATTCTTTGTGGAAAGTGCAAAAATAGCAGCCATGCAGTCATTCCATTGAAGACAGGTCAGAGGGCAATGCACACGCATCCACGGTTCACAAGACAGGACGGGAAGTCCCTCGTAACCGAGGATTACCCAGGAAACTAATGGAAGAGTTCCGGAAGAAGTTCTTCTGAGCAGGAAGTCATGGGTATTCACTTCCGCTCGCTATAACTTTCTGATGGGGGAAAGTTGGGAAATACACAGATCTGAGACAAGCGACCTTGGCCTCGACATCGGATTATCACTCAAAACGAAGAAAGAGTGAAGAGAAAAAGAACAGAGGAGTTCCGGAAGTTCTTCCTTCCGGGGAATCACCAGGGTTCACTTCTGTTCGCGTGGGGAGAACCGATTCATCATACATCATCATTTACATCAAGTTAGAGGTAACCAAGGGATATCAAGTTCATCACACCAACTCATTCATAACGAGAGAGAAGGGGGCGAGGAAAGAGAAATGTCGGAATCACAAGTTCAGACGTCCAAAGAAACAGTCGGCTTTGCAGCCGAAAACTCATACCAGAAAGATCCGCAACAAGAATGGCGCATCCGCCGTGAAATTCCAATTTGGCCCCAGGCCAATCACTCAACTCTCACTACTGACCTTCAAACCCGCACCGACGATCCCGGCCGTCGCGTGCTAACTCCCACCACTGCGATCGTCACCCCGCCGACGCAGCTCGACACGGCTCGCCTTGATCCCACAGTTCATCGCGGCCATCAAGCGCGCAACCGGCCAGCCTACAGTCAGCCCGGCAGGACTTTCCGACTCGCACCAAACACGTCGCCTAGCCACTACTTCCCAGAAGCTGGCTTGCGAGTTGAAAACTTAAGAGGGTTTTGCGGGCGCGTTTGCGGAATTTATAGTTGCGAGAGGGGAGCGAGAAGGAAAGAAAGGAGAAGAAGGATGATGAGTTGGGGTGCAGAGGGGAGAGAGTTAGGAGGGAATGCACAAGGGAAGCCATGTTGAGTCCTTGCAACCCGATGTTCGGCCAGTCAGATTCGTCGCGCAGCAGGGAATCCCTTTTGCTCGATGCGCCTGATTGGTGAGCGGGGGTAATCAGAGGATCGACCGGTCTTCGGGAGTTGAGGTTGGAAAGCGGGAAAGAAAGAGGCGCGAGAAGCAGCGCAAGACGGGTCCAAGATTCAGATGATCAAGAAGGAGGAACTGGCGCGCAAAGAGCAGCGAGGGAGAAAACAGTTACGATGGGAGAAGTGGGGAGGGGGAAAGGAAGGAGAAGGACAGCGCTGGGAGAGAAGGGCGTGGGGAATAAGGAGGAGGAAGCTCGCATGCATGGCGCCGGCAGCAAGAGAAAAAGGCACCAAAACAGTTACAGCTTGCCTAAGGTCTGAAAGAATTCAAAAATTGAAATTACCATATCCGCGCGCGAAGTCGACGCGGGAAAAGAAAATCCTATGCCTATCCGTATTCTCACAAAAATTCCTAGAGCTTTCGACGACGTGACCGAGAACATTCATGCATCAAAATGGACACGTCGCGTTCCGGTTATTCCGGATTTCCCAACTGCCGAGCCCGATTCCCAGTGCGCTCGCTAAGGCGCACGTAATTTCCCATGCATTTCCCGAATTACAAAAATCAGAATTCCAAGAATCAATCAAGCTTCCGAAAATTGGGGGCCGAAAATGAGGCGCCTGAAATCAGGAAAAGAAGCAAGGGCTTTAGTGGGCCCGTATGATACAAGGAGCAAAAATTAAACAGAAGGGTACGAGAGATAGCACAGGTCCGGGAGGGGGTTCGTCACATGGGTGGGGTCTTCAGAGGGGTTCATCTGGACAACCCAATGGCCATTACTGTGGGTTAATGTCATCTATGCAGTATCTGACCTATCAAGATCTCAATCCCGGTGGTTCTCTTAGGGCCTCGCCACACAGGCTTTCGAAACGTGCAAAAAGAGAATGAACTTTTTGCTAGGAAACGACTAGATTCACTCGCAACATTTTTGTGTTTTGCATGTTTCGAAAGTCTGTGTGGAGAGGCCCTTACCACCACAGGGATAGAGGGCTTGCAAATGGGCTCCAAATAAAAAAAAAGAAAAAACAAAAAACCTGGGCTTGTTTGTTTTTCTCCCCCCAATGCCAGGCGCGTTGTTTTTTTTTTTCTTTTTTTTTTTCTCTTCTTTATCCTTTTTTTCTTTTTTTGAAAATTGTCAATTTATTGCACGGGCCCAGTGCCCAAGGCTTTACGAAGTTCCAGAATAGAGTCAAAGGGCCTCGCCACACCTATCCYGAAAAAGCAAAAGAGTTCGAGAGCACTCCCGCACGTGGGAGATGTGAAAAAACCTTTCGAGAGGGCTCCTCGCCACACTGCGTTCTCCAAGGCGGCAGTCTCCAATTCGTCAGACGAGGCCCGACATTTTTTGGAGAGCGCAGACGAAGGGCCTCCACACCACTCTCGAAATGTGCAAAATGAGAATGAACTTCTCGATTGAACATGGCCAGATGCACCCGGCACATTTTTGTCTTTTCCACATTTCCAGAGTGGTGTGGCGAACCCAGACAAAATGGTGGCAACAGATGGTTGTCGGTCCAGGCGCACTCTCCAGTCTGGGGCCGAAATCGGACCACCCCTCAAATCCGGTGCTTTGCAGGTGGGGCAATCCACAAAGTTCGAGAGCACTCCCGAGAACCGCATTCTGAGCGTTCTGCAAATTCTTTCTGACTGCGATTCTCGGGAGTTGGTGTGGCGATGCCACTTCTCTCCAAATCACTGTTTTGGAGATAGGTGCGGCGAGGCCCAAAAACAGCAGAGGCCAGCGGGTCTCGGTCCCACTCCCTGAACCAAGCCCTGCCGCTGCAGTTCACCCGAGAACGAACTATACTAAGCAACAGACGAAGAATTTCCAGAAAAGTCCGAGAAAAGGTCGGTGAAACGGACAGAAGCCGTGAGACCATCAATAGAAACAAGCTTGTCACATGCAGCCCAATGCCTGCGAAACCACCGTATCCCCGCAGAAACCGAAGCGGCTTTATTAACTCGCCTATGCCAGTCAAAAAGAATAACATGGCGCAATTCAGCCAAAACAGCTGCAATAAGGTTGCACGGGCCCAGTGCCCAAGGCTTTACAAAGTTCCGGCATAGAGTCAAAGACAGCAGAGG